GCATGATTCCTATTCATCAGTCTACAATGACCAATGCAATTTCGTGAGGGCTGAAATACGTGCTTTCTTAAGTCTGATTAAAATGTGTGGCTTGATTACCAATATGTCTGAGGGCGAGAAGAACTGAATATAGATTAAGCCCCAAATGTTGCCTAATAGACATGGAGTCCATGGATAACTAGTATTATGTTTCATGTAATTATTTGAATTTTCATATTCTACCTAAACAAATAAATGTTCTGAAATAAGTCACTGATTTATGTAATTATTGACCTTAAAATAGTTTGTCCAAAGGTATAATTTTTGTATATTTTAAACATATTTGTAAGGATCCTGGTCTTTAATTGCTTTTATTATAGCATTCCTAAACTACTTAATTTGATTTTATCTCTGCCATGTATTTTATATATTTTCTGTCATGACTACAGTGACCAAGACAAAATTTGGTGTTATTTTGTTATTGTTCTTGGGTTTCATATGTAAAAGAGTAATCCATCTTCAATTCATTTTCTTTCTTCTCATCCTAATTTATTTTCCATCACATCACCTATCACTACTTGACTTTATGGGATATATTTGTGTATTCACTTGTTTATTGTTTGCCTCTCCACGAAAAAGGAATATTTCCAGTGTTTGTTCACTAACAAATTAGAAGCAATTTGAGTTTTAATGAAAAAGAAAACTTCTTAACAGGAAGTGAACTTGGCTTGTATTTTAATATGTAATATATTTATATCTAAATTATAATATTTCTATTAATTTTATGGCACATTTACAACCTAATAACTGCTTAGTTAACAAAGCTGATTAACTCTGGATCTATAATATTTATAGATATTATTCTTACTCTAATAAGGTTGTTCAGCTTTAAAGGAGTCTCATTAGGTTTTCAAGGCTTGATGAGCCTATTTACAAATGCGCATTTAAGATTTAACTGGTAATTACAAGAAATTCATTACACAGCTATTGCAAGGTCTAATTAAGATAGCTTAAAATATGATCAATAGGCTTATTAAACTCATACTTGTTTACACTTATATTATAAATATGTGATTATTTTTATAACTCTAAATGTACAATGATTGTATACATCTCCCCACTATCTTCCTAGACAAGATATAGCAACTGATGCCAGCAGAAGGCATCTGACAAACAGAAAGTCTTCAATCATTTCCCAAACCTTCTCTCTCTTTTATGAACCCCTCTTTCTTCTCTGGCTCAGATGCTTCTATTTCTTTTCTAAGCTCTCCTAATTCTGAACTTATTTGAGAAAACAAGAAGGACATGGCAGAAATATGTCCACTGATGACATACAGCATTGTACCTGTGATTTCCATAGATTCCATATGTTCACAAATCTCTTGAATCCTGTCCAGAGGCCATCTAGGGGTCCTGGACTTCATAACAGCATCTCTTCTCTTATACCTTTAGTTTCTCTATATTGTTCTTGAGATTACCTTCACTTTAACTAGCACCTGACCCTTTATATATCAGTGATGTGTACCAAAGTTTTTGACCCTCTTTATACAATGTTGTACTGGGGGAATGGGCCAAGAAAAAAGTTGAAATATGGCATGTGTTTAAGAAAACAGCTCCAAGATACTACTCAGCCATAAAGAATGATAAATTAGACTTATTCATAGGAAAATGGATATATATTGAGGATATACTCCTAAGTGAAATAAATAAGTCACATATGTGTAAATACCAAATACTTTCACTGGTGTGAAAAACTATAATGGTACATAAGATCCTAATGATATAATTTACAATGTGAAATAGGAAGAAAGGGGCTAGAGGTGTAAGGAAAGTGGGAAGGGTAGAGGAAAGGGAATAAGGGAAAAGACAAAAGAACAGGAGAAAATCAAAACATGGAAATAAAGTATTTGTAAATGGGGAGAGGAGGAGGGGGTGAAGGGAGGGAAGGGACAAGGAGAAAAAACGAGAACCAAGACCTGTCATGTAAAGGCACAAGATCCCAATGATGAATGTAACTGCACTGTACCTAAAATGTACTAATAAACTCAATGAGAGAAGAAAAAAAGAAAAAGAAAATAGCTCCAGGGAAATATTTCAGGTAGGTTTATGATCATAAGACCCTCAAGGTGTAATATGCATACATACACACATGTGCAATTCTGCATGTATTTGGAAAGATACCCAACAGAGGGATGGCTGGGTCAAATGGAACCTCCAGTCCAAGCTCTTTGAGGTATCTCCATATTGATTTCCATAGTGGTTGCACTAGTCTGCACTCCCACCAACAATGGAGGAGGGTTCCTTTCTCCCCACAACCCCGCCAACATTTGTTATTGTGTGATTTCTTGATAGCAGCCATTCTTTGTGGGGTGAGGTGGAATCTTAGTGTTGTTTTCATCTGCATCTCTCGAATGACCAGTGATGTGGAACATTTTTTCATATATTTTCTTGCTGCTGAGGGTCCTCATTTTTAAATAAATTTTTATTTTATGTAAAATAAAACAAAATTTCACAACAAGATACTAAAAGAATAACAATATCCAATAGACTGCATCATTATCTTCAAAATAGCACACAAGACAGACAAAAAAGGCTTTCTCTTACAAAATAGAAACATAATAGCACAAAACTTTCTTTTCAGTGAATTAGGAGAAACTGGTAGTATAAATGAAACTAATTAGCATATATATTCTTGATACGTTTCTTCTAGCAGATATCTATAACAGCATGCCTCCTGACAGATGTCTATTGATAGTAACTATGTGGTTTCCCCAGTAGGGAAAGAAAAATGGATGAATTCAGGCTTGAGAATCAAAATTGAGAATCAGTTATTTGAAGAGTCTAGAAAGTGTTTGCATCAGTTAGTGTTTAAGGCTAATAAAATTAAACTAATGCTATAGGTACAGAGTCTAGAGCCATTAAAAAATTTCTGACCCTCTCTATTTCATTCAAATAAAATCTAATGCTATGTGGGTTATTGGTACTATGCCAGGAAACTTGTTTTGTATTAGAAGATGGGAAAAATAATTTCTAATCCATTTCTTCTCTACATGTAATTCAGATATACACATTTTTCTGATATAATGGGGCATCTTAGGCAGGACATTACCACTCTTTTATGTCAGAGGTAAAATCTTGACCCATAATTTAAAGATAGAGAAAAATAAGGATGAAAACAGCTTTTCAAGACAAGTATCTGAGAGAGAACTTTGTGAATTGAATTGTCTGAGAAAAGGACTCAACAAGGTTTGCAGAAAAAAATTCTTAATATTGAGTATTCTAGAAAGAATAAAAACTCACTGAAGCTAGGAAGAAAATAAAAGCACCAACATTTGCAATAAATATCTCTGATTATTATTATGACTAAATAAAAGCAAAATGAAAGTTGACATTTCCTTATTTTATATTTCAGAACTAAACATTGAACAATAAATAAAGATAAAGGTCTACTGGGCTTCATAACTCTGGTATTAAAAATAAAATTACTTTCACTGACAAGTGAAATTGATCTGGCATTTCACAAAAGAAGATAACTGGATTTTAAAAATGAGTTTCTTCTTTATACAGGACACTTGAACTATTTAAATAATTTAAAAGCTATTTCTCCTGGAAATTGAATCAATTTTATATATGCCTGAAGCACACTAACGAGTATTCTCAACTTCTTCCCCTCGAGCCAAGGAATAAGTAAAAGGAAAGAACCTCTGCAAGTTATTACATTGTAGAAAGTACAATTGTCTCTTTGAAGAAAAAAATAGTTATCAGTTGCCACTAAATTTCATATAGGAAATACCAAGTTACTGTGGCCCTGTCATGCATAGAAAAGTCTTCATGGTGATTGGCTAATGATAGTCAGAGAAAGTTTAAGTTCTTGTAACATTTTAATTCATGAGTATTTAAATTCATTTTCTCATCTTCTTTAAGACCAAACTCTCTTAGTGCTTTTCACCCCAACTTGCCTGATGTTTTCATTCATTTTTTGTTTTGAGTTGTGTCCATTGCAGTCACTACTGACAAAAAATAGTTAATGTTGAATATGCTTGTTCTAATAAATATGTTCTGGGCATTTCAACTTTTACAGTACTTCATTTCTACCAATGTATGGATACTTAAGACCAATCTGTCACAATTTGAAGTATCAGGGCTCTGAATGAAATCATTTTTGTGTACTTTCAAGTTCACAAATTGTCATAGTTTTAAAAATTAAAGGAAAAAACTAAATAAATAATATTCAGTCATAGTCCTCCACTAAAAATTTAAATGGTCCTCAACCAAGAATTGTCTTTATAGTCCACATTAACTCTACTCATTATAGTCCATCCATTATACATTTAATAGTTTTATTGATGACTATGTCTTTCTAGTATATCAGAAGCCCCCCCTCTATAATTCTTAACAGCTAACCACTTGCTGTTCAATAATATAGTAACTTGAGACTTACAGTTTATGACCTTAGAATTATTTCTCCATTGGTTTTAGTGGCAAAAAAGATGGTAACCACATAGTGGTAAGAAAACAATCAGGGGGGCTGGGGATTTAGCTCATCGGTTCGGTGGCCTGCCTTGCAAGCACAAGGACCTGAGTTCAATCCCCAGAACCAAAAAATAAATAAATAAATAAAAAAGAAAGAAAGAAAGAAAGAAAACAATCAGGGCTGGGGATATAGCTCAGTGACACAGCACCTGCCTGGCAAGTGCAAGGTTCTGAGTTTGATCCCTGGTATCAATTAAAAAAGAAAAAAGAAAACAATCAAACCCAAGGGCAAGTATAATAACACTCTAATTTTTAAAACAGAGAAATTAAGTTTTTAATGGACAGATAAAATTTTACTTACAGTGTACAATGATATTTTGAATTTATATATGTTGTAGAATGGTTAAACCCAGCTATTCTTTAGCCATAGTAGAGTCTATCAATTTTACATGTAAAATTACTCTAATAGATTTCATCAAGATCACGCTCTTGGGTTTACTTTACCTTTTAACGATTAAAACAGAATACTGGAAGACATCTCATCTTACCTTCCTGCAGCGCTAGAGCCACTATCTTCATTTTCCCACTGATCGTTTTTACTTCTTGGAACTGGGGGCTGCAGCATTTCAGCAGCTAGTGGATCAGCATCATTTTCTTCTCTACCAATCCATTCTCCGATCACACGAGGCCTCAGAAGAGAAGAATTAAAAGCCACTGTTTCCTGAAGGAAAAAAGAGAATGTGCTGTCTTAAATTGCTTTTTCATTTTAAAAGGCAAAAAGGAAATAACCTCCTTTAGTTTTGACTGCTTACTTGGACCAAAATGTTCTCTTTTATTTCTCTGATTTGATGTGAAACTTCAGTTCTCTCCATATCTACTCAATGATCTGTTCTACTGTATATGCCTTATGCTAATTTCTAAAGATCATTGTGATCTAGGAGTGAAATACTGCAATTTCGTATGGAAGATCACATGTGTGTTCTCAGAAAGGAGGAGTGGGAAGCTTGAACTATCGCTAACTGGGGACCATTTGAAACTTACAAGGATCCAATATAAAAGTTTGAAGCAATGAAGTTACCAGTGACTGGTGTGACATGCTAACTCAAAAATTTTAGTCTCTTTTTATGCACGTGAAGTGAGGTGACTCATTCAATCATACAACTTCGGTATGATGTAGCTATGAAAATGGTATTTACACTACTGATTACACGTGATTCTAGGGATGTATTAAGTGGGATAAAAAAGGTAAAAAGCATGATCCACAGTGTGATCTTATTTTTTTATAAAGTCATATGGGTTGATTTCTACTATCCATTCACTAATTCATAAATGTGTTCTTTCTCTGATATTTATGAAGACTCGGTATTGCAAAGAACTGTTTGATATTCCAGAGCAATACTAAATAAGAACAAAAACACTATGTGTGTAGTCTAGGCTGGACTTGAACTCACTATGTAGCCCAGGTTGACCTTGAATATATAGCAGTCCTCTTGCTTCTGCCTCTCAAGTGCTTGGATTACAGGCGTGCACCACCACGCCTGGCTAAGAATAAAATTTAAGAGAAGTTTTATCCAAATGTAGGAACTTCAGGTGATTTTAAGTTTTTCCATGTATTTTCAATATTTTACACAATAAATATGTACTTGTCTGGTCATTTTTAAAATACCTTGATCTGAGAAACACATGTTATTTAAATTATGTTTAGCAAAATGTTTTGGATAGAGTCTTAATTCCTTAATTCCTTAAGAATTCAGAAGTGGTGCTCTGAGTCATTACAATTCACAATACTATGTGAGTCTAATTCACAATTCAATACAAAAATAACATGATAATCCATATATATAATAAATAGTTAATGTATAAGCACAATATAAAAAAACACATAAAACAGGGTTTAGAACATATTTGAAAAGCATTTCTCCAAGTGATGACAGAAAGTTGGATATTATAATATTGTTTAAGCCTACATGAAAATATAGCTGGTAAACTGTAGTATGAGTGTTTTTATAACAACAATTTTTTTGGGGTGTTTTGTTTTGTTTTGTTTTTTGAGACAGGGTTTCACTGTATAGTTGAGACTGACCTGGAACTCACTATGTAGCCCAGGCTGGTCTCAAACTCACAGGGATCCTCCTGCCTTAGCCTCAACCTCCTGACTGCTGGGATTACAGGCGTGCATCACCACGCCTGGCTATAACAACAGACTTTGAGTTAAGAAAACAAAGAACTCCAGGAATTACAGCTATTAAATCATGCAAACAATTTAATGTTTTAAAATAGCTGGAAAGGCATATTCATTTGCCACAAATTCAAAGAAAAGTAATAAAAATTATAATAATAATCTATATTTAATCTATATTTATTTTTAAAAGCAGATTAGGGCAAAGACTTGTTTCCAAATTTTTAAAAAAAACTATGATATAATTCAAATCTCCCTGCTAAGTTTGTGCTCCTCCCCAATTTCATATTTTGAAATCCTAACTCTGACATGATGGTTTTAGGATGAGAGGCCCTTTTGATGTGAGTAGGTCAAGGGCTGGAGCCTTCGCTATGAGATCTTTGCATCTATAAAAGAGGCCTGGGAGAGCCCTCCTTGATCCTTCCAACAGGAGAGGACATAGCAAGTCTCTGAACCAGGAAGTGGACCCCCATGAGACACTGAATCTTCTGGCCCCTTGAACTTCCCAGCCTCCAGAACTGTGAGAAATCAACCGTTGTAGTATTTATAAGCCACTCAGTCTTTGGTGTATTATAGAACAGCCTGCCTGTACTGAGATACTCCCATCCCGGTCTTCCTTGTCTAACTCAGATAGTCAATATTTCAGACTGTAGATTTTGTCCCTGTAGGACAAAACAGACTCAACTTTGTGGTTGGAGCATGCAAGCAGCTCTAGATGGTATAGAAACAAACATGGCCATGTTCCGATAAAACTATATTTTATAAAAACAGGAAGAGGAGGCTGGGGTTGTAACTTAATGGTAGAACACATGCAGTTTGTGCAAAGCCCTGGGTTCAACCCCAGCCCAGCAAAACAAAGCAAACAAACAAACAAACAAACAAAAAACTATGAACTTATCTATAGCTCCAGAATCCATTTTGACCTATTTTTCTTTGAAATATTATTCTTTGAATATCATTTTCTCCAACTGTAAAATGGAGGTGATGGGAACTATAAAACTTTTTTATCAAATGAATCAGTATGTAACATAGTGAAGCTATGAAATGCTGTGTATATGCTAAATACAGTTATTTAAGGACACAGATCCTCTTCAAACTATTTCTATATATGTGATGTATCTGGAAGTAAAATGGTAAACAAAATTGCCAAATTGGTCAAGTTGGGTAAGAGTAAATGCTTAGTTCTAAATATGGGTAGAAGAATAGCAGGGAGTTGATGGTGTAGGTTTTCACTGTATAAAGTTTTATTTCATAAAGTAACAAAGAGGTTGGATAATTAAGTCAATGTGATTAATCTTATATGCATAATGGTTTAGAATTGGGCTAGCAGGTTTGCCTTGCTCTAAATACAACAATAGCATAAGAACTGCTTCGAAGAAACTAACCACTGAAACAACAGAAATGAGTGGGGTTAGGCACTGTAAACAAAAAGAAATGAAATACAATTCAGAGTTAGGTATGTTAAAAAAAAGTTGAGAACTGCCGAGAATCAGAAATAACTCCTTTATTGCTTACTGGGAAATTAAATAAAATAACAGATACCACTGCTGTTGGAAAGGAGAGCATAGAGGGAAGGATAAATGGTTTGATAGTCAGGATGTTTAACTCCCACTGGCAGCAAAAATTTAGTGAGAAAGCCCAGGAGCAAGGCAACATGAAGAGCTTTTGTAAACAGGGTCAAGGGGTTAGAAAGTCAATATTTTACAAGTGAAAAAGGACTCTAATACTTTTACATTTCTGCACAAACCTCTTTATCTGCTAAAGTTGGTGACAAGAGGAAGCAGAGTAATTCCACCTTTAAAAAGTGTTGTATCTCTTTGAAAATTATTGAATCTAGTCTATTTACATGTAGATTAAAATACTCAGCCACAAAAAATGAGAAATTAGATTCATTCATGGGAAAATGGATACATATTGAAGATAAACTCCTAAGTGAAATAAATAAGTCACACGTGTAAATACTGAATAGTTTCTCTGGTGCAAATAAACTATAATGGTACATAAGAAAGATGGAAGTAAAGTGTTTGTAGATGGGGAGGAGAGGAGGGGGTGAAGGCAGGGGTAAGGGAAAAAAATGAGAATCAAGACTTGTCATGTAGAGGTACAAGATACCAACAATGAATGTAACTGTACTGTATCCCTAAAATGTACCAATAAACTCAATTAAAGCTGAAAAAAAAAGATCCTAATTAGATAATTGACAATGTGAAATGGGAAGAAAAGGGCTAAAGGTGTAGGGAAAGTGGGAAGGGTAGGGAAAAGGTAATAAGGGAAAAGAAAAAACAGGAAAAATGAAAATATAGAAATAAAGTGTTTGTAAATGGGGAGGGGAGCAGGGGGTGAAGGGAGAGAAGGGACAAGGGGAAAAATGAGAACTATGACCTGTCATGTAGAGGTACAAGATCCCAATGATGAATATAACTGTACTGTATACCTAAAATGTACCAATAAACTCAATGAGAGAAAAAAAATAGATTTATCTTTGGCTGTATTATTTAGATTTGATTAAGCTAAGTAAGCATCTTTACATATATCTCTCTCAAGGAGCTCTAGTGAGGAGATCAATGCTTAATGTTGCGTTCATCAGACTATAAACATCAATACCTAGAAAAATTAATGTAAAGATGCCCATTGAACACACAATGCTTTCCAAAATATCTTAAGCATGTGGTAAACAAGTCATTTAAAATTTCATGGATAATCTTTGTAAATAGGAATTATTTTTTAGAAATATAAAAATACATTTTCTATGCTCTTTCCAAGTAAGAGGTTCTTAGACATTGAGATTATTAAGCAAGCATAGTTAAATTTAGTGAGTAAAGCATTTTTAGTCACAAAATCTCCTAAAGGTCACAGATTTGCTTGGTACAGCCCATCAGCATCAAGCTCACACATCTAGGAACTACATATTGTATCCCAGATCAACTCTTGCCAGGAAGGCTGTTGTCTATGGCTACCTCACAGCGAGTTCAGCTGATCTGACCATGGGCTAAATCCTATTACACTTGTTTTAATTAATTAAGTTTATTGGTACATTTGGGGTATGCATATGATCATATTCATCGTAGGGGATTTATACATGTAAATGATATATCTTGGTTCTTGTGCTTTCCCATTCCACTTCCCTCCCTTCAACCTCTCCATTATTTTCAAAAGCTTTGCTTCTATTTTTTCTTTCTTTTCTCATTTTTTAATTCCCCTTCCTTCCTTTGGCCTATCCTCCTCTCTAGTTCTCCTTTGAAATATTTCTTCCTATTTCACAATACCGATTATATACTTTGATCCTCATTTACACTTTCTGTTTCTCACACAGGAGGAAACAATGCACTATTTATACAGGTGTGCCCAATTTATTTTATTTAAGAGTATGGTTACAAGAGTTTCCATTTAGCTATATATCTCAAGTTTACCTTTCTTTATTAACGTATTTTAAAAAACTACATCTTTATCCATTCATCAGTTAATGGGCATTTGGGCTGTTTCCTTGATTTAACTATTACAAACTGTGTAGCTATAAACATGAATATATCCATGCATATATA